AAAATGGATTAGGGCACACTAATAGGAAATCTTGGTTGGAAATTGAGATTTGGATTGCTTTAGGAATGAGAATTAATCCTAAAGTGTTGTTTTGCATCAGTGATCGCTGAGGATTCAGACTGAAGGGGCTTGAGGAAGCGGAAGCCGGAAAAGGGCAACGCTAGTCCCAGGTTTGATCGTGCGAGGTAGGATTTCTATCCCTTTTCCTTGTGAGCCTGTTTTCAAAAAGGATTTTGGCCTTGAAAATGTTTTAAAGAAAGGGATTGATATGTGAAAGAAAATTCTTTGAAAACCATGGCTTCTTTAGTCATGGAACCTCATGGCTTATCTAGTCATGGGGCCCGTGGCTTGAGTAGTTCATGGGGTCGTATTAACGATTTCAAAATGTTAATGAATGATTTCTTAAGCAAAGAGATATTGTGAACTGGTAATAGAGTCTATTGCTGTAAGCCTAGATAGGATGCGGAGAGTGCATCCTCAGAGGTAGAACCCGAAACTCTGTCCGGGTAGGCGAGGCACTTGGTTAGGTAAGTAATTTGTACTAATTACTTGCTGAAGCCTGTAAAACGGTTATTTACAGTTATATTACCTTTGAGCCCTCCCAGGAGATTCTAGGAGCGGTGCACAGTAACTGGATATTTGCTACGGAGCAGCTGAGTTGTGCTGCTGTTGGAATCAAGTGAGGATCGTGGACATCCTCTTGGACAAATGTAAGGAATTTGAGAAATTCTGTAAACTTATATAATATTTGGATTTACTAGACTGTGGTTGATGTCTGTTGTAATGATTAATTACATGTTCATGTATGTACGATACTGTATGTCCTGTGGGGTGGAGCCCTGTGTGTCAGAGGCTCCGGGATTCTGTAATTTATTTATATTTTAATGCAGTTAAGTGTGGGGCCCAGTCTAGGAATCTGCTTTATTAATCCCTAATCGAGCTCCACGTCACCCACCCCGTTTGGGGGGCGTGACACCCCCTACATTTCGGGCTTGTTCTTTTACCGTTTTTGAGTTTTGTGACTTGAGTGTAGATTTTGAATTGAGTTTAAGTTATAATTTGAGTTGAAATTGTAACTTGAGTTTGTGTTTGGTTGTGTAGATATTTGTTATGGTTTGAGATAAGAATCTTTTTGAGTTTGTGTTTGAGTGAGTCAAAACTTAAATTTGTATTTATATAGTATTTTAATAAAAACTCAATGCTGATGGAAAATTTTAATAGGGTATATGGGTAGGGTTTTATTCATCTTTTCGTTGTCAACGCATAAAAAAAAAAATCATCTCAATCAGAATTAAAACGAAAAAGTTATAGCATTTTTAATAATAGAAAAAATATTGTTCATTAATTTGAGTTCGAGTTTCTGAACTTGAGTTGAAGGGGAAACTTGAACTCGAGTTTTAGTCCCAAACTCGAGTTTAAACTCGAGTTCAAACTTAAAAAAACATGAACTTGAATAAAGCTGTAACTCGAGTTATTTTTTTTTAAAATTTTTTACTCAAAAACTCAACTGCCGAACAGCCCCTTTGTTCCTCAAGTTTTTTTTATAACTTTTTTTTATCTTTTATCTTTTTATTTTTTCCTTTCTTTTTCCTTTTCAATTTTTTTATTGCATCTTTTAACCTTTAATTTTTATATATTTTCAAATATATCTCCCTTAAATTTTTTTTTACAGTTACTTAAAATATTTTTTTTTTCTAATTATCATGTTAAATTAATTTATTCTAAATATGTCTCTAAATAAACATTTGTTTTTTATGTGATCCTTATAAATTTCAACTTTAGTTGCGCAACATTTCACAAAAATTTTTTCTTAAGTTTTCTTTTTAATCTTTATTTGCCTGTTATTTACTTCAGATCTTTCTTCTTTTTTTTTTTTTTTTGCATTTTTGTCTTTATTTTTTTTATCCTTTTTTCCAGCAATTAATATGCGTGCGTTTTTTACTAATATATACTAAATTTAACATCAAAAGTAACATTGTATTAAAGGGTGATTTTCTATTGAAATGTTAAAATTAGTAAAGATGCACTAATTTGACATTGTGTTCGCGTGCGCACTAAAAATCAATAATAAAAACAAATGACGTAAATGAATTTACGGCACTCTCAATTATTTCAAGACACAAGAAGACGAGGACGATGTTTCTATAAATGGAACTTACTTCTTTGCTCACAAACACACTCAGGCAATTGAAACCAAACCAAACCAAACATAATTAGTTGAGTGTTGTGCTGTGCTGTATGAAAGGCAGAGGTTATAACCAAAGATCAAGAAGCTTTTCAAGATCTCGTGTTGCAATTGAGGGTTCTTAAACATCATTAAAAAAAAAAATAAACAAGGAAGATAACATTTCCATATCTTGTCTCTGGGAAATCTCCCAGTTTTAATTAATAAAAATCCTTAACAATCAAACTGTGTTAATCTTTCTTCAACTAAAATGGCTGCTGCTGCTGCTGCTCATGCTAATGGTAGAGTACTCTGCGTTTTGCTCTTTATACCTTTCTCTTCTTATCTCTGTTTATTACTATTATTTTTTTTTTTTTTTTTACTCCATTGTTTTGAGTTTATAGAAGATTTTATTACTGGTCTCTGTGTTATGTATAGTTTCTTGATTTTTGAGACTGTTTTAATTATGAAAATGAAAAATGTAGGAGAAGAGCGCGAAATACAGAAGACTTACTGGACAGAAAACTCTGCGGATTTAACAATAGAGTCCATGATGCTCGACTCCAAAGCCTCTGATCTTGACAAAGAAGAGCGACCTGAGGTATAATAATGTTCATATAAACTAATTTGTATAGTTTTCTTTTCATTATAACAAGTGTATATATGTAAATTTCATTTAAAAAATAAAATGTGCTTATGTTGTAACTTAGCAACGAGATTGATTTTCCCTTTTCTTTTCCTTTATTTATTTCTTTTTTTAGGAATGAAAAAGGTAAAAGTTTACAGAGCACAATGTTGTTATGTTTCTTCCGAGGGGAAATTAAATTAGGACAAAATTTAGTCCAGAACCTAGGAATTATTATGGTAATTTTTGGATTATATGCAGGTATTGTCTGTCCTTCCACCGTTTGAAGGAAAATCAGTTCTGGAGCTCGGAGCCGGTATTGGTCGTTTTACTGGAGAATTGGCCCAGAAGGCTGGCCAAGTTCTTGCTTTGGACTTCATTGAGAGTGTCATAAAGAAGGTAAACCACAAACTATTCATGACATGAATGCATTTATTTGGTGAATTCATGCCCTGATTCAAATTATGATTTGTAGTTCGTTACAGTATTTTCTCTCATAAAAAACACACGTAAATCGAAAATAATTCTAAATTCATGAACCAAACGTCCACCGCATTTGTGGTTTCAGTCTTTTTTTTTTAACCGACATTTGTTGTCTCCGGTTACTAATGAAAGTTGTTTATGTACTAATTTAATTTTTTATTAGGGAACATTATATAGTAGGCCTAAGTTAGATGAAGCCATTATATTAATATGAGACAGTTTTAAACGGTCAGATCACTTTAAAATTATGTGATAAAGATTTATACTATAGGGAAAAAATCTTTTCATACCCTGTCTTATTATTCTCCTATTATTAGTGCATCTCCAAATATGTGTGGTCTCATTTTGATTTACTGGGATTTTTTTTTTCTTCTCAGAATGAAGAGATTAATGGACACTACGAGAATGTGAAGTTTATGTGCGCTGATGTGACATCCCCCGAACTGAAAATCTCTGAAGGGTCGGTCGATTTAATTTTTTCAAATTGGCTTCTCATGTATTTATCGGATAAAGAGGTATAAATTATTCTCTCTCGATGCCAATGTATGCGTAACAAAAACAGGCCGATTATCTTTCAAGCACCGAAATCTCCAAATTAAAAGTTTGAGCATATTTCTTGTTCTATCTGTGCTTGTAGAAGAATTTGTTGCATTGTATAAAATTGATGGTGGTACATATAATTGTTTGAGGATAAATGAGAAGGAAAAAAAAAAATGAGGGAGAAGAATTACATTTTATAAGTTTTTAATCTTTTATCTTAAAAAATTAATCTGTTTAAGTGGGGTGATCTAATATTTTTCTATGGTTGTGATTATGTTGGAGTCAAATTCTATATCGACTCTAAAAACTACAAGATTCTCTGAATTCTTAAGAAATATTCTCTTTGTTTTCTCAAGAATTGATCTCTTTCTCTCATTAGAACTTTCTCTCTCTAAATTCTAGTAAGAAATTCTCAAAATAGTGAAAAAGATCTATTTTTCATTGGGGGTTCAAGTATTTATAGATTTTCATTCCTTCTTTAAGAACTTATCCTTTGGAATTCTTTTCCACGTCAGCTCCTTTTCTTGATCTGAGGTTCTTTTCATTCTTCAACACGGCTTAATCTTTCGACAGTTGAAATCTTCCACATAATTTTAATTTCCCTCTTTTATGAAACGTTGTCATTCCTGTTAAATCTAAACGACATTATTTTTTTGTCTAAATTCAATTCTCATCCCCACAGGTTATATTTATATTAAGACAATGTGAGACTCAGGTATTTTTCTCCTTAATATACCATTGCAAGATGGTACTCCGTTAGGATCCGTTAGAAATCACCAATCTTGTATTTTTTATGAAAGTTTAATACCTTTAAAAGTACAATTCTTCTCTCACGTTTTTCTTTCCATCTCTCCTCAAACTCTAATTCTATATTTAAATTATCCAAAAAAAAAAGCATATAAATTTAGAGTATTTGTCCGATACGACCTCCCTCCGGTCAATTTTAATGGCTAAATCTAATTAAAATCATATCAGATTGAAAACATATGTAAAAAATAAACAATTTTTTTTATACATAACTAACTCTTAAAAACAAAGCCTAGTTTATTATTCAATGTCTACTAGAAAAATCTCATAAATTTAAAGTGTTAAATTCTATTAAAATTGTGCCATATAAATTTATATATATATTTTTTTACAAAATTTTAAAGGTCTTTTTGATTCATGCGTTTAATTCAGTGATTTTTAATTATGATTTTTAAAGTTTAAATTTTTTATGAAAAGAAAATACTGTAACAGAATTAAAATCGTAAATTTAAAAGCATGAAATAAATAACCTCAAAAACTCGTTTAATTTATGTGTTTAAATCAATATTTTTTTATTTTAATATTTAAAATTTATATTTTTTATAAAAAAATAAACTATAACAAAATAAACTCTCCCAAGCTTTTTTATTTTTTATTTTTTATTTTTTGTCCTTTTTTTTTTGGGAAGAATTATTGTCCTTTTCCCTTCTTAATTTTTCTGATTTTACACATCGGTAATTCTGTGATAAAGGCCCTGCAGACTACATTAGTAGTGAAACGTGCCAACTATTGGATTATAGGGACCACTTGGGTTTTAATAATAGACCCTTGTACTCTCCTTCCAAATGTCTTCTCAAAATTGATGATGTTCCTTTCGATTTTCATTTTTGTTGAAATTATTTATTTATTTATTTATTTTGGTGTTGGCTAGTAGTTGAAATTAATTTGATCACATGTTCGCATGAATTTTCTAAGTGTATTTAATTCGTTGATTTAAATTTTTAATTTAAATTAAAATTTAATTTTATTAGAGAATTTTTTATTATAATAAAAAAGTTAAATGTGACTGTTTTTTATAACTTTTTATTATAATAAAATTTAAATTATAAATTTAAATTGGTAAAATGAACGGAATCTGTATCTATCATCACACACTGTATGCGATATTCGTATTGCTTAGAAGTCTCTTTTGCATTTCCATGGATTGTAGGTTGAGAATTTGGCAGAAAGGATGGTAAAATGGTTGAAGGTTGGTGGGTTCATATTTTTTAGAGAATCTTGTTTCCACCAATCTGGAGACTGTAAGCGGAAATACAATCCAACCCATTACAGGGAACCTAGATTTTATACTAAGGTTTGCCTTTTCATGTGCTTACTCTTTTTTTTTTTTTTTTTTTTTTTTTTTTTTTTTTTTGCTTTTCATGTGCACACTTGTTAATTTTACATTAATTTTACATGAATAACTTAAGAACTGTTAAAAAAAAAAAAAAAACTTAAGAACTGTTATAATGGCATCTAATAAAACTGCAGAAATTTGATTTCACATTTGTGATTAAAAGATATGAGAGCTTCCCTAAGTATAAAAAATAAAAAAGAGGAGGCCGATGAGATTAATTATACATGGTTAGAGGCATAAAGCTTTACTTGACAACTTTTTATAATAAAACAAATTATTCCAGTTGTTCTTTCTTGCGAAACAAACAGCTAATATTTCCTTTTTATAAGCCCGTAAGTTATGGTAATCATTATTCAGGAAAAGTTATTTTAAGGGTTATATTTGTTAAATGTATATTTTAAGAGATTAAAATAAAAAGTTAAAAAAGAAAGTTAAAAAAAAGGACAAAATAATTAGACCAAAAGTTTAAATAGTATTTTTGTTAGAGGATGGATAGTGAAATGCATTTATATTTCTTATATAATTATAGATTATAGACTATAAAAATTATAGGAATTGTCTCAGGCGGCACCGAATTCGAGCAGCACATATATATATATATTTTTTTTATTTTAAAATATATATAATATAAAGAGATTTATAATTTATCTAAACATCTATATATATTTTAAGAGTAAATATATATATTTTTTAAAAAAATATACATGAGTCGTTCTAATTTAATATCAAACTAAAGACTTTATTATAAATTATAAATTATGAATTATAGATGATAAATTTAGCACATTTTTTAAATAAAATAAAATAATATTAGCACACAGCTTATTCCGAAGCACTGACGTCAAGTGATGTGAGATACGTGTGGTCCAATATATATATTTTTTATTTTCTTTTTTCCATAGTTCATCATAAGGCTGCCACGATTGCAATGTTTTATCACCCAAAACCATTGTGACATAATGGTTTTTGTAATATACGGTTACATTAGAAATACTAGTTAAAAAAAAAAAAAAAAAAAAAAAAAAAAAAAAAAAAAAAAAAAAAACCGGTTACATTTTGCATTTCCATAAAAAAAGAGGACTGCATTAATTTAATAAAAACAAAAGAGGAACAAAAATCAAGGAAAAAAAGAAATTCCTAACAACGGAAAAAAGAGTTCTTATCTACTGTCAGAATCTCAAAGGAAAAAAAAAAAGGAGCACGACTTCCTCTTAACAGTCATATCCAGACATATAAAATTATAAAACTAATCCCTACTAAGCCTAACATAATCGTAACACATCTTCTTCTTGTCGAGATTTTGATTATAGAGTCATCAGGAATAACTAATTCGAGATAACTTATAGGGAATAACACATTAAATTTATTTTAAGATGTTCTAAAATTAAGGGACTAAAATGATATATGACCTACAATTCGGGACTAGAAAATAAGACTTATACCTAATTTCTCATGAAAAAGAGATAGGATTTAAGGGCGGCCTTTGTATTCTAAAAGAATATACATTTGTAAATAGAAAATTTATATTTAAGAGTGCATCAGTTTAGATCTTTATCTTTTATTTTTTATAAATATATTTTTAATAGTGTAATTATTTAATTAAAAATGTTATAAATCAATAATAAAAAGTAAAAATTTTGACTCATATATTTTTAAAGAGTATTTATTAAAATTATTCAAATTTTATGTGCTCTTCTTATTCTCTCCCTTTCTACTTTTTGTGATGACAAAACAATCCTATTATAATGTTTTTATTACTTTTTCAATCTTAAGCCAGAATCACCCAGTATATGACAGTTAGTCACACCATTGGTGAGCGTTGATCACACACACTATAAGCAAATACTATTTGACCCGATGAAGGTCCCACTAGGGACCCCACTACATAATGTGATATACAATATTAGGAGAAAGAGAGAAATATGTTAAGATTTGAGATGAATTAAAATTAATAAGTTAATATTTTATATAAGTTAATAAATAAATTAAATTACTGTTTTTGTCCATAACTTGTCTGGTTATGAACCATAACTTGATAAGTTATTATCCATAATTCACAGTTTTTGTCCATAACTTGTCTGGTTATAAATCATAATTTGATAAGTTTGTCCATAACTTATCTGATTATAAACCATAACTTGATAAGTTATAGCCTATTAATTTTTATAATTAAAAATTAGTCTATATATTTTCTTAACCTTTTCATACTAACCTATTTTCTACTATTTTTGTACAATATTTTTCCATGCACATACTCTAGTGATCACTAGGGTATTCATTACAATGGACGTACAAAACATAATTGATTATTTTTAACCATTATACTTACAGGTTTTCAAAGAATGTCATTCATGTGATGAATCTGGAAATTCCTACGAACTCTCTCTTGTTGGCTGCAAATGTATCGGAGCTTATGTGCGAAACAAAAAGAACCAAAATCAGGTGCATTAAAATTTGCAGGACTTAATGTACCTTGGTTTTTAATACTGATCCTTGGAATCTCATTAAAGTGTATATATTTGCATAATTTCTGCAGATTTGCTGGATATGGCAGAAAGTTCGTTCGCAGGACGACAAAGGGTTTCAGAAGTTTTTGGACAATGTTCAGTACAAGTGCAGTGGCATCTTACGTTATGAACGTGTGTTTGGCCCAGGTTATGTCAGCACTGGAGGGCTTGGTAATTATCCATTTTTCCTATTGTCCACCATATGTTTGCTAAAAATACTAAGTGTGTTTTTCTCGTTTGATGGAAAAGAACTTTAGTCACATTTGTCTGTGTATGAAAGGCTATGCAATCATGTCATCGATGTAGACTTCCATTTCGTTGTGAATCATATCATGAAATAGCTCAATAATGTGCAACTTGTGAAACATGCCGTGAATATTGATGCATATGGTGAAATTGATTTGATACTATACTAGTCTGTAACTTGGGCAGTGATTTATGGATGATTGCGTTATTGTTTGTGTTTTCCAAGTTTTTCAAGTTTTCCATGGCAATGATATATGAGAATATTTGGTTGCTTGTGCAGAAACAACAAAGGAATTTGTAGAGAAGTTGGAGCTTAAGCCTGACCAGAAAGTTCTAGATGTCGGGTGTGGCATTGGAGGAGGGGACTTCTATATGGCCGAGAACTATGACGTCGAGGTTGTTGGTATTGACCTCTCTATAAATATGATTTCTCTTGCTCTTGAAAACGCAATTGGACTCAAGTGCTCTGTTGAGTTTGAAGTTGCCGATTGCACCAAAAAAGAATATCCAGAGAGCTCATTCGATGTCATATACAGCCGGGACACCATATTACACATTCAAGTAATGCAATTTTCTCTGTGTCATCTTTATTTGAGTATTCAACTCTTTTGCTTGTTCCTGTTGCTCAAGTACTTCTCCACATGACATTCGAACCACCACCGCAGGACAAACCAGCATTGTTTAGATCATTCTTTAAGTGGTTGAAGCCAGGAGGGAAGGTTCTCATCAGTGACTACTGTAAGAGTCCTGGTACTCCATCTGTGGAGTTTGTCAAGTATATCAAACAAAGGGAATATGATCTCCATGATGTGGAAGCATATGGGCAGGTTTACTTGGATTTTTTATATCGATTTTTAACCAATTTATACCTATAAATATGAATATATATACATATATATATATATAATGACACAATTTTGTGGATGTAATAATCTCAGATGCTTAGAGCCGCTGGTTTTGAGGATGTCGTTGCAGAAGACCGCACTGATCAGGTTTATGTCAAGATGCATCATTTTACTATTAAGGGTAAAATTTCTTATGCTGCCCGAGTCTTACACCATGTTTATTGCTCGTTCTCATTACAGTTCATACAAGTTCTGCAACGAGAATTGGATGTTGTTGAGAAAGACAAGGATGAATTCATTGCCGACTTCTCTGAAGTGCGTTTTCCCCTCTTTCATCTGTCGTTCTGTTTAGTTATGATCTACAGAGTTTTCAATAGTTTAGCTGTACTAGGCAGACAACTTATACTGTTTCCTCATTTCTTGCTCCTCTTATTGTTGCATCTACGTTCTTACTATACTCCTTTCTGTGTTTTTGAATTGCAGGAGGACTATAATGAAATAGTTGGGGGGTGGAAAGCAAAGCTAATCAGGAGCACATCTGGGGAGCAAAGGTGGGGCCTCTTCATTGCCAAGAAGAAGTGATGATTTGAGTAGCTGTTTCTAATATGTATCTTTGAGTTCCTGGTCCTCTGCTGTTAGTAAATGTCGTTTAAATAATAAATGTAACATCTTATCAGCTGTGTCTTTGTCAATGCCCGACTCAGGTGTGCATGAGTTATTTTATGTACTTCTGGCTAATTCCTTATGTATTGGCTATTTGATATTGTGCTCTGTTTTATGGTAATAATATTGTTTCGGATTTGGCATTTCACTGAGGTTTGGCCTTGTTTTCCATTGTTCATGGACTGATGTCTGTCTTTTTCCTCTTCGTAGTTAAGTAATTAATTACTTTAACATGGAAAACCTATGCCATTCTGATTTCAAATATAGGATTTGCTAATGTAGACAAATCTTTGATTATAGTATGAGTTTCTTTTATAAAGGTCGTATATAGACCTTTAGGCTTTATTTCTAATTAACGTGATAATGTTTCAAATACTTACTAATAAAAGTGATAATGTTTCAAATACCTACTAATAAAAGAATGTATACTAAACTCTTTGACATTAAAAAGTTGATATCTGTAGTATTATTGTGTATATTCAAATTATATTATGTAATTATCTAATATTTAACTCGTGTATATAACATTTAGGGCTCGTTCAGTTCGCCGATTTGAATTTTCAATTCAAGCTGAAGTGTGACTTTTTGTAAGAGTTTTTAACTAGAGCAGAAAAAGTTAGATGCGATTTTTTGTTTAAGTTATTCCCTATATAATTATATGTTTTTTTAAAAGCCGAATTAGCTATCAAGCCATGTCCATCACCCGCAACAACTTCAGTTACTCTAGTGTTTAACCTAATAGTAAGAATTATACTTGGCACTAACTACATCTATACTGTGTTAAAAATGTCAGTGCTACATGAGATTCTAACTAGTAAGTATGTTCTTGTGATTCCAAAACCTAAGCTCTAATTAGAAGTTTTTTCATTCAGTAATTTATTTTTTTCCTCAGAAAATTAGCTAAATGACCTTTTTTCAACCACCTTTGTTATAAAATGGCCGAAATTTTTTATCTTTTAAACAAAGCCTTTTATGTGGTCCCCCAACACTCCTATAGGGGTTTTCCTATCATAATCGCATGAAATATTGACGTAATTTTCTCGTATTGAATCATAATAGTTACTATTTTGAGAACCAGAAGTCGCTTTTAAGCTTCTGGTAATAAATGATTGTCATGCACTGCTCCAAACAAATGTTCATGCATGACCGGATGTGCCTATCAAAAAAAGAACATGACAGATGTAATCCGTCATGACAATATTATTCATGTTTAAAAAAGACAATCAGATACGATAGAACGACTGATATTAACATTAAAAATGACAGATGTGCATATTATTATTCATATTAAAAACGGCATACGTTTATTGATGTACGACAATCGTTTATTGATGTGCCTTTCAATGATATTCATATAATTATTCATAATAGGTGTGCATGACACCCGCTTATTTGCCATATGCTAAAAAAGTTTTCTGGTTTACCAAATAGTTATTATTACGACTCAAAACAAGAGAGTTACGACTCAATACAAGAGAATTGCGCTAATCTTTCAACCGATTACGATGACATCCCCCATTTTCAAATTGGGGGACTCTATACAAATCTTTTAAAGAAATTGCCGAAATTTTTTATTTTAGAAAAATGTTCATTTTTTCTACAATAGTCAATCCGTGATTGATTGATACGTTGTTAAATTTTTTCAATGATTTATCATTAATAAAGATATAATTTGTTGATTGAAATTGATTAATTACTAATTAATTTTGATAATTATTAATTAATATTTATTAATAATGAAGAATTATTAAGTTAATCAGTAATAAATTAAAATCAATCAGTAATTGAGTAAGTGAATTAGTGATTGACAATTAAATTAATAAAAAAAGATCATTTTACTAATTTTAAAAAATTTCAACCATTTATGAAAAACAAAAATCTCTGAAAAATATCATTTAGCTCTATAACCGTTTTTTCTTAAGCCGTTAGTTTCTTTCCTTACTTGAGAAAACACATCAACCATTACTTCGATTTGTTTTGTTGATTATTTTCCTCTTAACATTTATATATTAGACACTTTACAACTTGCAATTTTACAGTCAAAGCTTCAAAATTATCGAAAACAAGATTAGATGAAGTTGGTGGAAAATTTTAATGTGTTGTATCCCTCTAAACAATTCATTATTCTCTAACAAAACCTTTTTCTTTTATCCTGAGATCTCAGTTATTCACTTTGGTTAGATTTGTTCTTCAAGTTTTACAACTCTGATGTGAAAGCTTTTGATAGATTTTAAACAAGGGTCAAAAATAACACCAATTACAAAAATTATCTTATGACTAACACCATTTTTTTGTACTTCTATTTTTAGTACCGTCACATCAGCAGTTGAGAGATCCACAAAGTTAAATTATCATTGATAAAATTCAATGTCAGATTTTAGCTTCCCTCTTAAATTTTTCTCTTCATTTGAACTCTCTCCTTTTTCTCTCACTTTCTTTCTCTCTTTATTTGAACTCTCATATATTTTTTCTCTCTTTCTTTCTCCTCTCTCTTCTCGCTTGATCAAGTTACATATATCTCCTCAATTTCTCTCTTTTCATTTGAACTTACAGGTTTTTTTCTCATTCTCATTCTCTCTCTTCATTTGAGCTCTCACTTTTTTTTTTCTCTCCTTCTCTTTCTTTCTTCACACTCTCTCTCTCTCACTCTCCTCATATGAACAAGTTGTAAATATTTTCTAGAGGCGTTTAATCCTGATTTGCATCTAATGCGTAACATAACCTCGTTTAGAAGTGTTAATAAAAGCACTTTTGACTTTCTTTTTTCAAAATATTTGGTAAGAAACTAAAAAAAAAAACGTCTGGGTTATGATTTTAAGGGAACCAATTGGTCAAATTTGTTTCCAATTTGAATAATAAGTGGAATATCAGTTAGATTTACTCTGTGAGCATCGTTATGTTTGCGAAACAATAATTTTCGTTTACCAAGTAGTCATTACGATAATGTCCAACGGTAATTATCGTTATGACTCATGTAGTAATTATCATAATTACTAGTGGGCATAATGGTGATTACCAGTATCGTATGCTAAAATTCTTTTTTCATGAGTGAGATTTTAATGCTAAATTCACTTTCAAATTAGTCTCTTAGATACACAATATAAACGTTCTTTTTTCAAGGTTTCTTATTTTAGATTTGTGAGTTATGTATGTTTTGTAGGATGTTGAGAGGCCAGGAGAATACCTGTTGGATTCTTGATGGAGTTTTTGAGATCCGTAATGTAGAGGTGGCACGTAGAGAATCGAGAGGTTGCTCTTGACTTATTAGTTTACCTTAAATTTTTTCAACCTCGGCCGGTGGATTAGCTTGAGTACTATGTTACTAACTTATCTACTGAAACGTGGATCGTCAACATTTTCTAAGATTTCTTTTAATGTTGGTGACACATTTTCTTCGCACTTTGATATTTTGAACTTTTGGTAAGAGTATAAGTTTGATGTGTTTTTTTTTTAATTCTCTTTTATAAGAACTATGAAGGACAAATATGTTGCTATGGTGGCAAAAAAAAAAGCTGCTTAGTGAATAGCTTAGGCAGTTTTTATGCGATAAATTGATTATGGTCATTACAGAAATTACCGAGTGGTAATTTTAAAATTACCGTAGTGTACCAATTCAACTACTTTGTCTTGTTGGTAGTAAGATTTCTTAACCGTTTTATACATCAAATGAAAAAAACTACTAGTATAATCTAATAAAAAGTTGCTTAGAGAATAATTTAGACAGTTTTTATGCAAAAAATTGATTATGGTTATTACAGAATTTATTGAGTGCTCATTTTAGAAACTCCATTGTGTATCAATTCAACTACTTTGTCTTGCTGGTAGTAGGATTTCTTTACCGTTTATGCATCAAATGAAAAACCACAAGCAGAATCTAATAAAAAAAAGGTTGCTTAGTGAATAACTTAGACAGTTTCTATTCACAAAATTGATTATGCTCATTACAGAAATTATCGAATGCTCATTTCAGAAATTACTGTAGTGTACCAATTCAACTATTTTGTCTTCCGGTAGTAGGATTTCTTTACAGTTTATACATAAAATGAAAAAACCACCAGTAGAATCTAAAAAAAAAAAAACTGCTTAATGAATAACTTAAGCAGTTTTTATTCACAAAATTGATTATGGTCATTACATAATTTATCGAGTGATAATTTCAAAAATTACCGTAATGTACCTATTCAACTATTTTGTCCTATTGGTAGCAAGATTTCTTTACCGTTTATACATTAAATGAAAAAACCATCAGTAGAATCTAAAAAAAAAATTGCTTAGTGTATAACTTAGGCAGTTTTTAATCAAAAAATTGATTATGATCATTACATAAATTAACGAGTGCTCATTTTAAAAATTACCGTAGTATACCAATTCAACTACTTTGTCTTCCTAGTTGTAGGATTTCTTTACTATTTATACATCAAATGAAAAGATCATCAGTAGAATCTAAAAAAAAAAAAAAGGCTACTTAGGCAATTTTTATTTAAAAAATTAATTAGGGTCATTACAGAATTTATCCAACGATAATTTTAAAAATTATTGTACCTGAATAATTTAATCAGACATTACATCAAACACCTTACAAACAACATCTCAATATAAACATAAGCATGGAAAATCTAAACTAAACATTATCCATATCAATCCTTACATCAAAACACAACAATTAAAACACTTGATTACATTCAACTCAACCTTTACTAACATTACTTAACCAAAAACGTGTGTATCCAAACATAATTCAATGCATGTTCAACCCCTATGCATTTAACCCGTATATAAGCATAGAAATACTCTACTAATGGAAGAAAAACATTGCGTTTAGTTGCCGTGGGAGAATAATAATAGTAATCGGAATCAGAATGATAATGGTAATAGAATAAAAAAATTAATTTATTTATTTGGTTGTAATTTTAAGAATACTATAGAATGAAACATGAATATTTTTATGTTGACAAAATTATCCTTATGTTACATAAAACACTAATATTTTATAAATCAATATAATTAATGTAATATATAACATGTAGCATAATATAATGAAATTATTATTATATAATAT